AAAAACACTGAAGAAATGCAACAGAAAACCAACAATGGACCAGCATCCCATTTAAAAGGAGTAATAGCATTCCTAGTTGTTTCAAGCTGTAGAAAAGAAAGAATTTACATACAGGGACAACCAGCAACTGCTTCTTAAAGCAACTAAAATCAAATTTTACCTTCATTAGGTGGAGTGGTGTTTCCTGCTGGATCCCCCGGACTGTTGGACGAGGTGGCCTGGGTAGGTGGGTCCTAGCAAAACAAGGCAACAGTATTTGTAACACTTTGCTAAAACTGAGTAAAGCATAAACCAAGCTGTGGACATTACCTGCATAATCAACATGGAAACAGTTTTCTGCGAGCAAAGCTTGAGTGAAACTGAGACCTTCAAGAAACAGATAATGTCCAAGGAAAAATATTCGAGCATGCTTTTGTGCCAAATCTGTTGGCCTTGTTATTCTTGAAACATTTTTGCAATGTTCATTTCATACAAAAGAATATCCTTGTTCATTGGGGTAAATTACAATAATAGTAAATTAGTATCGTTTGGCTAGAGATATGGTCAGTTATGATGTAAATCATGACATTTCGACTGCAAACTGCTAGTCTTCATCAGGCACACTTGCAGGGTCAAAGAGGCTTCATTCACATGACTTCACCCCAACAACATCAACAGGGACAGTGGAATAGAGATTCCTGAAGCGTGGATGTTTATGATCAAAAAACAGAACTGGAGAGCTGTGTGACAGGGGACCACCAAGGGAACAACTCACTAACATCAAGGATCAAAATGCACCAATCACAGTGGTGGAAAACCAACCAACAGCAGAGCATCCTGCATTACACGAAGACCTGAAACCAGTCAACCTTATCACCTGATGAAGGCTAGCAGTATGGGGTAAAAACGTCACGATTCACATCATAAATGACAACATCATGTGATGAACAATACTTCCTTTCTTATACAATTAACCTGCAGGAAAATTCTCTTCATGAAACATTCACTTCTAAGTGTTCTCTGGTGTGAATTAATGAAAAAAAAAACTTGTCCCTTAAAAAATGTCTAGATCACTGAATGTTTGAGTGCTTTCAGCACAAAAGAGCTAGTAGAGGAAAATCCAAAATGAATGAAGAAGTTTAACTGTGAGTTAATTTACACAACATGCTAAAGTAATATAATACTACAGTTTTCAAAAGAATAAACATAATGTTTCCAGAATTTGTTTTGTGTCTTTCAAACAAATCTGCAGTTCTACTTCTGATATTATTGAGTGAGGCACCTATCACAATCAACTACATGTACCTACTGGTATGTGCAAATTTTGGCACATCATACCTTCATTGACATATTTTTTAACTGTCAATTAAAATTGATTTTGATGTTTCAGTTTATGAACATAAATTACACTACTCCTGTATTAAAAAACAGAAAAAAGAAGACCAAGACAGTGCCATGATATTGTGACAAATCTGGTTCAAGTTCTTTAAATTCAGCTTTATATCACCAAACATATATCACCTCCAACATATATCACCAAAAATAACATTTTGGCTGTAAGTTAACACACAAAATATGCAACTGGATGGAAGGATTTCTCCCGAATGCAAGAGCTCTAGCTTGTCAAATGTTGCAACCAGCACCATTGAGACTTGGTCGATATGTTGACAGACAGGTAGCCTATACTTGGTTTGCCAAGTATTTTTAGTTTCTTGGTCAGCCAAGCTGTGTCAGTAATGTCTGGGTAAAATGTTGATAATCTATCAGTCAAGTGTCCCTTGTAACAGCAGTCACTCAAGTATTGGTCATTAGTCGGTCACAACCTGATCAATGTCTATTCTCCAGTACTTGTATTTGTATTATAGATTCATACAGTGTACAGGCGAGAGAAAGGGGATCTTTAAAAAAGCTCAGCAGAGCTTGCTAGATCTCCTGCTGTATCTTGTTTATAATGTAGTATGTATTATGTGATGTAATGAACTACTGAAGGCGAATAAAACATCAATCAAACAATAGGACACATAGTCCCCTACTAGGTTCACTGACCTAAACCAACCCCAACTCACCCATCCCACCCCAGGGGAAGACATCCATCACACAGTAATCTCGTGCGTGGGAAATTTACATCTCCTACCCCTAACCCTGCAGGAGACGGGACCTGCATTTTTTCGTCCCTATCTGAGAAGACTAGAATATCTAACCATTTCTTGATATTATAGAAAGGTAGCATATTCTTCTCAATTATTTTAAGACCTTAAGTGTTGGTCCAACAAGGACTTGAACCCTCGACCTCCCGCACAACAGTCCAACCCTCTATCGATTCAGCTAACTGGGAGGTGGTGAATTTACAATACATGACAGTGCTCATCAGACTTTAATCTTAGCTTCTCTCAGTGACTACCCTACTCTCACTGGAAGATTTCATCTTCCACAACAAAATCAATGTCAGCTATGATATGTAACTGAGCAGATATAAGACAAAAGTGACCCAATCTGTCACAAAACTGTCTGCACAAAACAACCTGGATCCTTGCATAATTTGTATGTGAGCCAAAATCAAGCAGTTTGTATCGACAAGAAACTGCAAGAGAACTGGTCACATAAATAAAATAAATGCACTAATACCCTAAAAGCCAGGGGACACAGGGATGGCACTAAAACATGAGATAATGTATTCAATTGGTTGGGTCAAAAAGGCCGTCAATTGGCATGTTACCGGGACTCCACTGTACTATAAAAGGTCATGCTGAGTCCACGGTGGCCTTAAAAACTTGACAAAATCCAAAATATGCTAAGCTGTTGGAATTATCATTGGTCAACTTTGATAGGAAAAATTACAATCTTAAAGGGGATTGTCGCAGAGCTTGTTAACATCATGACCCCCATTGTGCACCCATGAGAAAGCCAGTGAGGAAGTTATATCTCTTCTATTCCTTTGTTTGGAATGGAATAGGTAACAAAATCAAATGAGGGATTATAATGATCAAAAATTATTTGGAAGGCAGACTAAAAATGTTAGATATCCATAAATGTAGTAGAGCTCTCAAAGCTTCAGGATAAACAAATATTTTGACAAAAACAACAAAGTAATATGGAAGCTTTTTTTATACCATTAAAAAAATCTTGGTGGTAGTTGACTGTACCCTGGAAAACTCAACTTCATGGACTCTACTGAAATTCCGAAGAATTCAAGGAATTTTATGAAGAATTATTTTTACATTTTGGGAAATTAATTTTCCTGGGACACATAATCTCCCAAAGTTAATTACCTGAGCAAGTCTCTAATACAACTCACTCATCAGGACCGTAGCTAGCATGAGGCAAGACAAGGCAATTGCCTCGTCTTAATTTTGGCCTTTTTTAATTTTTTTCTTAAAGATTGACTTTTCTGAAGAAAAATGCCACGGAAAATCCTTAAAAGAGCATTTCTATAAACCTCTAGATTTCAAAGTTTTCTGGGGGGCATGCCCCCAGACCACTCTAGCAGCTCGCACCTTTGGCGCTTGAAACTTGCCTCGTCTTGTCCTGAAACCTGGCTACAGCCCTGCTCTTAAGAGCAGATAATCAACTGCCTTTCATCAAAGAACAGTGCATTGCAAAAATAGCACCTAAAAGATGACTGCCAAAAATTCCTCACCCTGCAATGCTTTTAAACTAAACACAGTTTTACAGTACGGCCACTTGTATACATCTGACTTTGGTTTTCTGGAAGCTGCAGGGACTTTACTTATTGACTAAGTTGGTCAAAGTTTAAGCACTAAATAGAGCTCAGCCTAACAGCTCACTTATAGTTATACAAAATAGATACAATGGAAGAATTTCATTTCAGTATTTTTAACAAAGGAAAATACCAACAAACAGCACTTTTAATAAAATTGAGCTACATAAAATGACTAATGCACTAATGCTCCTTTTGCCGGGAAAAACCCTAAAAATCTTTTTCATATCTTATGGGAATTCTCAATTTAAAGTTAATTTTGAGATTAAAACACCATCAAATTATCCAGAGAATACAGTTGTGCTAGGATTAAAAGCTAATCCCTTTGAGGCAAAAGAAAAGAACACACCCCTGGGCTACAAGTGGGTTCCTTGAATACTGTAAATTTATTTGTAAAATACTAGAACAGCCTGAAATAACCTTGCTAGACCAAACAAAAAGACCTTTTGAGAGCTTTTGTTTCAAGCCTATTTTCCACTGTACCTTTCTAACTTTTACATAACAATTTGGCAAGTGAATTAGTGGAAAACAGGAGTCTTTTAAATCAATAACAATCAAGGAGATTGTAATTTTTATGATTATCATTCATATTCATGCAGACAAAATTAGCCCACATGGTCTTGCTTCCATTGTTTGAGAAGCGTATTTTAGAGGCCAGACAAGCAATTAGACCACCATTTTGGAAAGAGGTACAGATGTCTATACGCAGACAAAACCTTAAATGAACATGGTTGGAATATTATCTTGTTGACACAAATGGAAGGAACACAGTGAAAAGTTCAGATGTCCAATTTCAAGGCTAATAGTAGCATTTAAATTAAATTATTTAGGACAGTTTTAAAGTTTGGTAACTTGAACTGGTGAACTGAACTTTGTATTCCGAATGCCTTAAATTAATTATCAGCACATCACGAGCTGTTCACGTTAGTAAAAATAGGCAATCAAAGATTGCATGTGGCTGCTGGTAACAAATAAAGCACAATTTTTATAGCATTACAAAGAACTTGTAAACAACTTACAATATCTTCCTCGCTTCGCAAATTCAGCGGCTCTTTCTGGCTTAAGCCGCTAACTTAAACCGTGAACTGCTCTCTTCTTAAATACAAATACATTAATTCCTTAAAGCTTCCATCATGTAAAGATCACATCTATTGAGATATTTCTGCAGGGAAAAGTTTTGATATGAATTATGCGACCGTGGATGCCGTTGTAAAGTTATTAAGTTTGTACCTACGTATCTACATAATTTGCTGATTCAAACAGTAAAATGCTGTTTCTTTCGCTTGTAAAAGAAATTTTCCCTGAAGTTTCGTGAGGTGCCGATCTAACCTACTTTGATCTTTGATATTTCTCCAAGAAATAGTCTTCTCGGTAGCCTTCTCGTTTTACAGCTATTTGAGATACTTACATGTCCTGAGATTTGCCGCGTTCTGTCGGTTGTTTTGTCCTTTCCTTGGGTCGCCATCAGATTTCTTGTCTTCGGTTATGTCGATGAAATGTCCGTTTTATTTAACCAGATGAGACCACCTGACTTAACTTGTTGTCTGATACCTCACTTCCGGGGAAATACTCAGAATTTGTCCGGAAGTAGCTTCTCTCCTCCTGTAATCCAGTTCCCTTGATAACACGACACAGGAATTACAGAAGAACTTTCGGGAAATATATGTTAAATCCACAGTTTTGTGAGTTATTTATGAGACTTTGCAGTGGTTGTCGAAACTAAAATTTGTAGTGTCATCGTGCTTGGTTATTTCACTTTCGTGACCCAAATAGAGCTTTAAAAGCAGGGTAAATTTTTAAATCATTTATCAAAAAGTGAAATATGTCAGTAACAACCAATGTATGGGCTGGCTCTGTGAACACGGCAAGATGGTATGAAAGTTAATAATCCTCGTGTAACGCTCACCTGGCTTCTCTGCACTTTTGTAGATTGGTGTAGAGTTGAATGAGGCGATGACAAGACGCTCAGTCGTCGGGAATGATTTTAGGCGCTAGTAGGCCATTAAAATGATCTCGCGCCGTCAGGGAATCAAAGGTTACATAAATAACTCGTTTTTCCTAGAAAAGCGGACTCAAATCTCGGAAATCTGAGTTCTTTTTATATCAGATTACGTGGCGAGGCGAAGAAACCAACTTCCAATCATATTGGGACTTTATTGACATCTGAACCAATAGAGATCTGTTGTAAATATCACGGCAATCATTTATGACCCAAGAATATCAAACTGAAAGAGGGCTAACACGAACCAGGCAATGCGTGAATTACTTCAAATTCTCCGCCGCGCAAACACCGGTAGACGTGCACTTTTTGTGGTAAGAGTTTTTTCTTGCTTTAGAACAAATTATCATAGAAAGCTGGTATGAGTTATGTGGCGATACGGAACATGGCTTGTGAGCAAACTCC